AGCAGCAGCGCTTCCTCATCTCGCAATTGAACAAGTAAGCTGCTGCACTATAGCAGCTAAATATAGGACTTGGCCTGGCTTCGCTTTGCTTGGTTTGGCCTGCTTCAGACTTGTACCGGTCAGCCGCGGCCTGTCAGCTGCAAACATTTTGTCGATCCGGTAGCTTGGACTTTCCTGAGACACACTGCAAAATTGGACTTGGGACATCTGCTCAGTTTGACCGTTAGTCTCCGGGTGTCTACTGGAAGACATTGTGAGCTTCGACCCATATACTTTCATCAATTGTTGCCAATGCTGGCCCGTGAATCTACTATCTTTATCACTAACTATCGTCGGTGGCTGTCTGTAATCTTCCACCCAGTGATTGAAGAATTCTCAAATCACTAGTTTTGTTTTTGCCTCGGCGGGCAGCGGAATGACAACAGCAAATTTACTAAAGCGGTCTACTACCACCATCACGTGAGTCTTCCTGCTTCTGGTCTTGACCTTTGTGTCCATAGAGTCAATAGATATGGAGTCACCAAGACCAGACATGACATGTAACGTTCTCAACAGACCAAGGGGGGCCAGCGTGGAACTCTTGTTCCACTGACATACTTGGCATCTTGGGATGTACGCGATGCAATCGTGCTTCATGTCGACCCAGGTGTAGCATAATTTTTTCTCTAACCGACATGTCATGGCATGCTCCCAAGATTGCATTCTTGACAGTCTCATTATTTGGAATGCAGAGTTTGTCAAACCTATCAGTCTTCTCAAATAGTCGTCCGTCAGTCACCTTGTAGTTTGGGACTTTGCGCGGTGTAGTCCGCACTCTTCTAATCAGCTCGTTGTAAAAGGGTTCGTCAGTGTATGCAGCTTTAATCTGCTGCTGCAGCTCGGTGTTTGTGTCGAGGCAAGTCACAATGGCACCGAAGAAATCGACACATCTATTGAAGGCGTCGGCAACGACATTGTACTTGCCCTTCACTGGTTTCAGCTCAAAGTCAAATTGATCTATCTCTCCGGCCCACATAGTCAACTTAGGGGTCGTTCGGTTTGGGTTTTCAACCAGCGTAGGGTTTCAGAGTAGACCTTGAAGTGCCTTACTAGGAGATAGTGTTGCCAGTGGTTTAGTGCTTTTCTCAAGGCGAACAACTCGCTCTCATTCGTTGATGCAGTGACCTTCTCACTAGGCAATGGATAAGACATGAACTTGACCGACCTAGAGCCGTCTCCATCGTTTTGTTGGAGTAACGATAAATGGAAGTAATGGGTCTGCCACTGTCAAGATCGGGTACTCAATCAATGACTTCTTCAATTTCTTGAAGACTGAGGTACAATCTCGGCCAATTCCTTATTGGTTTGCGCTAGTCGTAACGGTAAATGAAAGCGATGGGTCGGCCACTTTCAAGACCGCGTTAGTAGTAACGATAAACGAAAGTGATGGGTCATGCCTACGAAGGAAGGCAAACTGCGAATGTGTATCAACTATAGGGGTTTGAACGCGATCGCGGAGCCTCGGAGGGATAGGGCGGAGCCTCGGAGGGATGCAAATACTTCTCAAAGATAGATTTGAAATCGGGCTACCATTAGATAGAGGTACAGTCTGAAGACCAGCACAAGAGTTTGTGGTCATGTCGTTTGGTCTGGCGAATGCCCCTACTACCTTCCAAAGATGCATGAACAATCTTTTTCGTGAGTGGCTAGATAAGTTTGTAGTCGTTTACCTAGATGACATTTTGATCTTTGGTAAGACATGTCCCAAGTACAATACTTCTCGAAGATTGATTCATTCATTTTGATCTTTCCTAAAGATCAAAATGTCATCTAGGCAAACGACTACAAACTTGTCTATCCACTCACGAAAAAGATCATGCATGCATCTTTGGAAGGTTGCAGGGTCATTCGTTAGACCAAACGACACAACCAAGAACTCATAGTGGCCGTAACGAGTCCTAAAGGTTGTCTTGTGCCGGTCTCCGTGTCGTACCTCTATATGATGGTAGCCCATTTTCAAATCAATCTATGAGAATTTGCACCCTATCCAGCAGATTATCTTATTTTGGGCAATGGCTCTGGGCTCTTCACCATAATCGCGTTCAAACCCCTATAGTCGATACTTGTGCGCAGTTCGCCTTCCTTCTAAGGCACGAATATGATCGGTGCGCCATACGGTGAGGAGCTGGGGTTAATCCACCTCTTCTTTATCAATTCGTCAAGCTGCTTGCACAACTCGTCGAGTTCCTTGGGAGACATTCGGTAGATGGGCCGTTTGGGAGTTTTGCTACCTCGCTCTATCTCTATTCGGTGCTCGATTTCCCTTTCCACTACTGTCTGGGTCTCTCCCACATCAGCGACCTCTTTCAGTAGTTTTTCAAGTGCGGGTGGTGTTAGCGTCTTCTCCTCCTTGCCTTCACTAACTGGTCTAACATACGCTATGAGGACGTGGTCAACAAATCGGATTTGACCACGTGCCTCACGGACGTAGGGGCACTCGTACAGCAAAGGGAGTGATTGGACTATCCCAGATTCATGAAACAATCGGATTTTCTTTTTGCCTCCTTCATGGTTGGGCAGCCAACACTCGTGCTCGCCCATCTTTACATCAGCCCTTGTAGCCTCTCCCCAATCCGTCCCTGTAATCAAGTCGAAAGGTAGGTTGTCCTCCTCTAAGAGGGTCGGGGAGTCGAGGATTTTCTCTACCTTGTTCCCCCCCCTCCAATCGAAAGTATGCCTCTACTCCTTTGACGTACTCTTCTGCTCTCATTTCGTGATTGTCTGCCAGCCTGGTCACGATCGGCTCGTCCAATTTCAAAACCTTCATGCCGAGGTGCATCTTCTGCAATCCCCTTGGGCTAATATAGCTACGTGTAGATCCACTATCAACTAACGCGCCTCCTTGCTCTCTACCCTTTACTATCTTCTTCTTCATTTCGGCCCAAGCTTGGTGGCGAGTGATCAGCTCATTATCGATGCTTGCAAGGGAACCACACAGAGAGACCCTAGCATAAGCGGTCTCCGGACAACTAACTAGGTCGAGGCCTACTTTAGTCTTTGCCATAGGAGCCTTCAGACAGGAGGGTGTCTGCTCAGCGCGCGCTTCTATCTGTTTGTCTCTGTTTGAAGGCCAAGCAAGAGCAACTACGACTCCTACTGGCTGCTCCCTTTTGGGTACCAGTAGTCTGGGCAAAAACAGACAATGTGGTTGGGATCACCACATTTTAGGCATTGGTTGGCATTAAGCCTCTTTTGCCACAATGATTTCTCGATGCCCATCTCTTCCAAGGTTCGCCATCAGCGATCCTTGAACGTGTTGGCCATGGGTTGTGCCCCCTACATCTTCCACCTGTGGAGGAGCCGCGTCCACCTTGCGGGGAACCATTACCCCTACCTCCCGCGTAATAGCTACCTTTGCTACCACTCCCTTGGGTGCCACGTCCTCTTCCTCCACCTCTTCGTCGGCCTCCTCTTGCTCCCTGTCGCCTTGCTGGGCTACTTGGTTGATGTTAGGCTCTTCCAGTCCGTAATCTATGTTTTTGTTGGATAGTGCTTCGACTCCCCCTCCCTCAAACCTAACTAGAAGACTGTCGTTCCCTTCTATACCACCTGCGATGGTTTTGTTCTTCCGTCGCCCTCCTTTCTGCAGGTCCTTCCAGCAATTGGCCTCCATTAGGAAGCCGACCTGATCTACGGCGATCTTACTAAGTCTCTCGTAAGTCATGTCGTCCTCTTTCGTACAGGGGTACAGAGTGGTCCTTAGGGGATCAGGCATCACTCTCGCGAAGTTATTCAAAATCTGAGTGGGGGTTGGACCGTGATCGGGACATTGCAATAACTCATCCATGGTGGCTTTCAACGCAGAGACACTCTTCGATTTCCGATCGGCTATACTGAGAATCAAGTGCTCAGTATGTCGGGCCAGGTTCTTATCGTCGAACCTCTCCTTCAGGGTTAGTGCGCTTAGAGTATTCCACCATTGACGAGCAGCCTGCCTCTTTCATCAGGGAGATGGTGAAATTGGTGGCATCCCCACCAAGGCACGAGCTCGCCATCAAGACATGACGCTAATATGGAATCAATTGTGCGTACAAATATGTGCCCGTATGCGCCTCCCACCGGTAAAAATTATCTTCTCTCTTACCGTTGTACGTCCAGGGGAGCTTCACTTTCATCTTCTCTCTCCTTTCTCCCCCTTCTGGCTGATTGGGATCCACCTTTCTGTCCCCCTCCTTCGGACCTCCATCGCCATCATCTCCACCATCTCCACCCCCACGACTACTTGTTACCTTTATCGTGGCGACGGTGTCTACTAATTTCGAGGTGAGTAATCCTTCCAATTGTTGTGCATATCCCCCGACGCGCTCATCTATCCGGTGGGCAGCGACAATTGGGTAGTTGTTACAAGTGTTGTTCGAGTCGGGCAACAAACTTGTTTATAGCGGCGAGTTCTTGGTTAGTATGTGGCAGGGCGTTGACCATAAGGGCACGGTCGTCTTTCCACTCACCCTCACGGCGCTTCTGTTCCTGGAGCTGGCGTTCAATCTCCTCCCCTTCAACTCTCAATCTTCTTTTCTCATCCAGCCCTTCCCTCAGGAGTCGCCGATGCAATTCATGTTCCCTTTCTTGCATCAGCAGTTCTCTCTCGACGTTGTCCTCTGCTGCCTCCAACTTAGCTGTGAGTTCATCCTTCTCGGCCTTCGATTCTTTTGCTCGCTCCTCCTTCCTGAACCCAAACTTCTCCATCCACATTTGGGTATAAATGCAGTTGATTGGACTCTCCCTTTTCGGTCTGCATACCTCCAACTCTGTCTGGGGTCGCCCGGCGTCACCTCCTGTTCTCCTTCTTCTTCTACTACAACCCGTTGTTTTTGTTTTTCCAATTTTTTTAGCATCTCCTCCAATTCCTTTCTCTTCTTTTCGAATCTCTCTTTCTCCTCCTCTTTCTTCTTCCTCTTTTCCTCCTTTTTTGCCTTCTCCTCGTTCTTCTTTTCCGCCAGCCTCCTATTAATTTCAGCCTGCTGTTCGGCGGTATAAGGCTGGGTAGTCCCCCCGGATCGGCTCACGACGTGCATGCCAAAAGTTCGGCCGAATCCCAGTGGAAAGAGGAAACGAAGGACGGGCCCCCATATAGCGGATAGGGCCAAGAAGCCAAACATCAGGTAGTCATCCATGGCGAGGGTTGGCACAGGTAAGTTGACTCTGCCTCCTCACCACGTACACTAAACCTAAATCAGGGTCTGACGAACTAATTCCCTTCCCTCCATGGCGAGGGTTGTGGCACAGGTAAGTTGACTCTGCCTCCTCACCACGTACACTAATCCTAACCTAAATTAGGGCCTGACGAACTAATTCCCTTCCCACTTTTGTCACTGCAGCTCTCCGGTGGGCAACCGGCAGTTTAAGGTCAGCCAGCACAGACCTCAGGAATTCTTTATGACCCAAACAGGATGTCGTGCCCACCGATATGAAGGATCACTCTTAATACTTAGACCGGTTCCTCGCTGATTGCTGTGGTTTTTGGGTATAACTACCACCAGCGAATGCCCAGCCGGTCAGTACCTGTCCTTGGGGGATCTCCCTGGCGTTTGCAACTGATGGACCTTACGTCTCGCCCCTACTCTGTCCGTGCAGTATACAGCTGGTGAACCGTACTGCCCTCTACAACTCCTCACTGTGTCCCATAGAGTTTTCGGTCGCACGCCAGTCATTACTGGTCATTGGGCATAAGCCGGGTTGTTTTACGAGCGCCTTCCGCTCATTGCGCGTGCTCCCTACTAGGTCTGGGGATACCTCCAGCTGCTGAGTTGCTACCCTAGACCAACCTACATCAGACACGAAACTTTCACTCTCACGGTACCTATGCCCCCAGGTAGGCTGGCAACCCTAACCACCTCCCCCACAAGTGGGAGGAGCCTTCCCTCCAGGAGAGATCGATCTCTGACTCACCAAGCAACAGGCAGATCACGTGCGACTGCTGACTCGAATGACAAGATGGCATCAACAGAAATCGACTTGCAGCAGAGGTCTCCAGGAAAATATGTGGGAGGGTACCATTCACAACAAAATTCAAATTGCATAAACGAAAGGGCCAGGGCAAAGAAGCACTTCACTCCTTGAGCGTTCCGTGGATGAAGCTCTTCGATCGCAGGTGAGTACTCTTGCTCCTTGCTGCGCCCCTTCTTCTTCGGCCCGCAACATGCAACCCAATTTTTTTTCAGTTTTTTTTTGCCCGCCGGCCTTCTAGCTTGCCAGCACCTCAACTCCGAGCGGATGCAGCGGGAACCAGAGGACTATCACAGGCCGCTGGATATGTCGGCGAATGTTAGGTAGTGGATGAGGATGGGGGAAAAAAAATGCAGTTGTGGATGAGGTTGCAGCAATTGAAATGAACCAAGTACTTGTCAAGTTCCACCTCGCATACAGAGGACTATCACAGACCGCCGGATATGTCGGCAAATGTTAGGTTGTGGACGAGGATGAAAAAAAAAAAAACAGTTGTGGATGAAGTTGCCGCAATTGAAATGAACCAAGTGCTTGTCAAGTTCCACCTCGCATACATCAATGAGCATTCACATGAGAGTTCACACGTGAGAAGCCAAACCGAGATACAATCAACACATGAAGATGTCGTCTCCAAAATTATTATCAATATACAAGAATGTTTGTATCCAGCGGCTCTGCCGCATACACACGCACAACGGGTTTCAACCAGATAGTGGATATGGCTTCTCTCCCTCTCTTAGTCTTGCTTCTCTCTCAGACTTGGTTCGCTCTATCTCACTTTCTCCTCTCTCTCTACCCTGGATCGTCGCCCTGGATACACCCACTCAGGTCAGCTCCACCTTGGCGGCTATGGCCGCCCAACTCCTGGGCTACCTCTAGCCTAGCTATGGAGTATCTCTTAAGCGCCCTCTTCTTCATCGGCAGCACAGTGCCCAAGTTGCCTTAATGGACAAACAACAGCAGCCCTTCCGCATCTCGCAACCAAGTGATGAGCCGCTGCACTGTAGCAGCTAAATATCGGACTTGGGCTGGCTTCGCTTGGCTTGGCTTGGCCTGCTTCAGACCGGTACCGGTCGGCTGCTGCCTGTCTGCTGCAAACAGTTTGTCAATCCGGTAGCTTCTGGACTTTCCTGGGACATGCTGCCCACCTACGACGCTTGGTTACCGACACCTACCGACCTATGACTTTTCGGCCTGTAGACCCTACGGCCTACCCTAATGGACAGCCCTAAGACTTGGGACTTGTCAGAACCGGGACTGGATGTCTGCAGCGTGAATCCTTTCACAATGCGGACAAACCCCCATTTGAAGAGAGGTGGAATGTGTGCTTTCACCGTGTTTTGAACTTTTTTCCCTTTTTTTGTTCTCTTTTCCTGTTGCACCTGTCCTGTGCTGTCATTCATTTGTTTGCAACTTTTGTTCTTTTTTTGTTCTCTTTTCCTGTTGCACAAATGATGTCCCATGCGTAATGATGTGTGCTGGGCAAGGTAAAGCTGCCTTCTCCACATCGCAGGACAGCCATATATTTTTCTCTCACCTCACATATCTTTTGACAGGCGTTCTGCCATATCATGGAACATTGGAACATATCTTTCTTTTCACTACCTACCACTACTCCTAAGGCTATGCAGGGGACCCCTGCAAGCATAGCTTTCTACCTATCTCGCTGGAGAGGGGTAACGGCATGTTTGCCCCTTTGCCCTAGCGTTTAGGGTGCAGGGTTGGGGCTGCCTGTGGGGCCGGCTAGCACAAGGGCCGAGCATTTGCCAGTAACTGTGCCTCCCTTTTCATCCTCCCCCACCCCCATCGAGTAACAGTATTGTCTAAAGCCAACACTCTCCCACACACCACACGCACTCACACCCATGTTGGC